CCTACGAAGAAATGTGCTTGGGCCGATATCCGCAGTTCGTCAATGGCATGAGCAAGATTTCATAAGAACGCGTGATTAGAGAAACTAATAAAGTTGAAAAAAAATATGACAAAATAAAAATTTTATTCGATATTTGAGATTATCATGTTTAAAATATTTTGAATATCACCCAAAAATAATAATCGATATAGCATATTTAAGGTATATGTTATAATGTTAATAAGTAATAATAATTTTTTATTATTTTGAAAATATGAATTTAGGATTTTAAATATTTAATCATTATATCGTCCATTGTTGCTGCTTCGAACCTCTTCTGCTTTAATACGCACGGCTGCCGAATGTAGCTGTCCATGCTATCAAATTTGCTTAATCTTCCGTAGAGAGGAATGAAATAAGTATAAAAAAATAGAAAGAATGTAAATAAAAATATAAATAGAGAATACATATCTATTATTTGAATAAATAAAAATAACAAGGTGAAAAAAATTAAATATATGATATATAAAATATTATAATAATTTTAACAAATAAATTTAAATTTATAATATTTTTCATTTCAGTCAACTCCACTTTTGTCAAGAATTTCTCTCTGACAGCAGTGCTCCCTTCGTTGCAATAAATGATTTCTCACGTTCTCAACAGCTGCATATTTTGACTGCCATCTGTTATCAGATTTTAAAAATGAATAATTTGGATGAAAGAAAGTAAAAGAAAATAAAAAATATATGTAAAAAATATAAAAATATTATACATATGGGAGAGTGATTGAATAAGTGTGTTTTAAAATTAATAAAAATCACATAAAATTATGTTTTAACATAAAAATTATAATTTATAATAAAATAAATTTATATTTAAGTGAATTTAACATTATTTTAAATAAATACTAATTAACCTTCAATTTTTAGTAGTGAAATAAAATCTTAATACATTTATATGAATGTAGCTGATCTATTTAATAAAAAAAAATTTATTTTAAATTATAGCAAAAAAGGTTTTATTTGAAATTTAACTGTTTGCAAAAAAATTTATGTCAATAACAACCACAAATTATATGTAAGGATTAATTTTGAGCTATTTGAACCTGAAATACCTTATGATTCTGACTTAGAACAAGAAATAAAAAATAAAACTAACTAGTATTTTTAAGATATTGAATAAAAAATTTAACCAACTTTTATTAAAATATATTCATTATAATTTGTAATAATTTATTTTAGAGTGTGTTGGTCCATACACAATAATATTGTGTAGCTGATACAAGACCTGTGTGTGTATTAGAATTAAAAACTATAAAAATATTATGGACTTGAAAAATACCACTTTTAATAATAATTTTTATAAAGAAATAAAAAAAATCTTATTTGCATTCAAACATGTCTTAAGAAGTATTGGATAATTTAGCAATTCTATAAATTGAAAATTTTTTAGTTTCTAAATTTGATTATACACTTCTAATAGATGATTTTGTATTAAAAAGCAAGAAATTAAAATTCGAGTCATTTTTAAAACATATATATTATATTATTAAAAGATCCTAATATTTATTTTTTCTAATTTTCAAATACCTTTGTGCCAGGTCTTGCCATGCACTACACCAGAAGTGTGTAGTGTTTTAGCATCTGGCCTTGTCTCTCCATTATACAATTTGGGCCTGATCACTTCAAATTTGATTCGTTCTTATCTCAGACATAGAAAGAGAGTGTACCTAATGTTTGAATCCTAATCAGTTGTTGGGTCAGGACAGGTTTAATACTCAAATCACTCAATTTGACCTGCAAATAATACATGTTTTTGTATTACTTTACTCTTTGAAACTAATACATAGATCAATTTTTTCAGCTAATTCCTTTATATTAAATACCCACATAGAAAAAAACTTGAATTAAAATTTTTATATCCTTATACCATCAAATTTTCCAATTAAATAGTGAGATTCATTTATAAAATTATACTAGAAATATTTAATGGAGGTAATTCATATTAAAAAGGAACATCCATGTGTCTTTATTTAATTGAAGAAATTGATAATAAAGATGTAAACAACTTGACATAAGTTTTGTGAAAAAAGTAAAATTAAAAATAGAATTTTATATCAATAAAGATTATTTGTGAATAAAAATGAAATATATAAACTATAATTACTTTTTAAAAAATGTTTGGTAGACTTTATCTGGTAGCTTTTTGTAATGTTTGATGATGATTTATTTAAAATACAATCATCTAAAATTAGATTTAGGTAAGTAACATATAAGAAGGCATTAAATAACATTACCAATAACTTAATAAAGACAAATCCTAATTAGTATTAAAAAAATTATTAAATTTTTGTTGACATGTTATTTCTGAATTTTAATATATTTTCAGTAAAAAATTAATCAATATTCGTTATTATGAGCCTTTAACACGAACCAAAGCCTCGACAATATTAGTTATTTAGAAACAGAGCAACCATGCTTGTTATTTTCGTTTTAAATTAAGGATATATTTATATAAGCAATTTAATGAAGTATTTATTTAATATCTTTTATTACATTAAAATTTACTTCATAAATTTAATTATTAAATTTATTAAAATAAATTAAAATTTTAAATTAATGAGTCATATTAAATTAAAAACAAACTTTTCTAGATAAGTTCTAACTCATCGTAATTGTGCAAAACCATTAATCGCCTTTGAAATGGTGTTAGTCCACCATTAGTTTTGAATTTGAAATGCCATGTAAGGGCTAATGTCAATTTAGCAGCACATGGATATCGACATCAGGTTGTCACAATTTGACTTACAACATATAAAAAAAGGCAAATAATACTACTTGAAAAATTAAAGGTATTATTAAAAATTTAAAATATTTATAATATATATTAACAAAAATTGTAATAAAAATATATTATTTTAATTTCTTACAAATACTATAAAACTCTAATTAATAAGTCTCTATAATGAAAAATGCAATATATTTTTTCAGAAAAGAAGATTAAGTTTTTTAAAAATGTGAGACTTATTATGATAAGAACAACTGTGAATAAAAAAAGTCCTGTTAAAATTTTCATGCATCATTAATGTTAATTATTTTCAAGCACGCCTGATTTCGTGTGCCATATAGTATTCTTTTTCGTATGAAATACGTGATTCCTGACTATTAATGGTTGGCACATTATCACATCACACTACGTCAGTAAAATGGTTGCTTTAGATTCAAATATTAATTGAGTTTTAATTTATAACAAATACAAAAGTTCAAAGTCAGAACTGTTTTAAATATTTTCTTTAGCTATTTTATTAAGATGCCTGTCTTTGACTCAAACTTGTCCCATTCGGTGTCATTTCATATCATATAAAGAAAGAAATATTGAGGATAGGGCCAATAAAGTAACAACTGTTAAAATCTTACATGCTTATAATATATAGTTGTCTATTGTCGTTACCAATATCCAATGCTTACACCAACTTGTTATCTTCTATGGTGCTTGACCCAATCTAATTTTTCCAGCAAAAGTGCCATAATTGAAGAAATTTAGGACACGTAAGTAAATGAGGACATGCCAGATAGATCCACAACAACGATCATTTTAGATAAGCAATTCGTGGAACCAAATATAATTATCAAGATAAATATCATCATTTTATTAAAAGGATTTAATTATAATTTTAGTTCACATGTTAATGTATATGCTATTTTGTCCCCTTAATTTTAATTACCCATGTTAGTTTGGAGGACTTAAATTCAACATTTAAAAAACGAAAAAAGAATTTAAAATATAAATAATTAAAATTAGGGGAGCAAAAAGGCACATTCAGAAATAAAATTTACTAATTTAACTATTTAATCTAAAGTTCTTATAAATTAAATTAATTCAATAAAATTTTACACAATTGAAAAATTAATTAGTATTTTATCACTATTTTATTTTAACATATGATATATTATTTAAAATATAAATTAAAAAGTATTTTTGTATTATACTTGTGAATGTATAAATTGTATACAATTTTGCACACATTATTATCATAATAATATAATATAAACTAATGATTATATTGACAAATTTATATTTAAAAGATTATTGAAAATTTAATTTTCTTAAATTTGATATTCAACAACTTTTATCGTACAAAACCTTTTCCAATTGAGCAGTATACATGTTTTTCCAAAAACTTGGAAAAGGTCCTAACGATTCACCATCCCCATCTCTATCTATTAATTTCCAAGTGTTGACTTTATCGTACAGAACAACTTGCACAAAATATTCGTACCTAGTCTACTCCAATTTTTTGGGCTATTACGTGCCTTAAATATATGCTTCATACATTTAAAAAAATTAACAATACATTATTTTATATTCTTTTAAACTCTTTTATTATTTGATAAAACATGATAATAACGTTATTATTATAACAGAGAGAACAAACTCAGATTATTTAGTAAAATTATTAAAAAAATTCATTTCATAATATAAAAAGTATTGAGAAAAATGAATTGTTAGAATTTTTTTTAACTAATCACTTAATTATTAAGTGGAATATTTTACTATACCACCTAATAATTAAAAGAGCGTTAAAAAGATAAAATACTACATAACACTCCTTCATTACTATATGAGTTGCCATTATAAGAAAAATATTAATAGTATACTTTTAAAGACTCCAAACACACTTTTAATACATTTTTTTCATTTATATCACCACTAAATACTAATTGAGAGGCATTAAATAGAAGGTGAAAAATATGTCCTTTAGTGGGCTCAAATGTAGTTCCAAGAAATAATAAAATGTCGTTGAACTTGAAAACCACACGCGTTAAAGAGTAACTATTATAGTTGTCATGGCTCACGATAAATCCACCACAACGTCTTAGCTAATTCAAGGTTGTCATTTTCTTTTCCACTTTTCTTCTGAATTCCATAATGGAATCTAAAAAAGACTTCATTCTAACATTTTCTCTTTCAATACATTTCCTTTTGGCTAGAACTTAACTCATTTCATGCTTCTAAACATGGATGAAATGGATGTTCCTTCCCTTTTTCTCTGCCCCATTTCCTTGGAGCTCATGAGAGATCCTGTCACAGTATGCACAGGAATCACCTACGACAGAGAGAACATAGAGAGATGGTTATTTTTATGCAACAACAACACATGCCCTGTAACTAAGCAGTCACTCATACACACAGATCTCACCCCAAACCACACTCTCCAACGTTTGATCCAAGCTTGGTGCACCCATAATGCCTTTTTTGAAATTGAAACTATTTCTTCAACTTCAAATCCAACCTTTGACAAATCCCAGGTCGTCAAACTCCTCTTAGAAGCAAAGAAGTTCCCAGAAAAACAGCTCATGTGTCTTAGAATGCTTCAATCTCTTGCTTTTGAAAGTGAAAGTAACAAAACCTGTTTGGAGTCTGTAGGGGTGATAGATTTTTTGGCTTCTACCATGATGATGAGCAATAGCCAAGACGGTTCAAATTCAACTGTTATGAGTAGTGAAGCAGCTATTGACGTCTTGTTTCACCTAAAGCCTTGTGAAGATCAGCTTAAGAACCTAATGGACAACAAGGGTATTCAATTTATTGAGTCTTTGTTTCAGGTTTTGAAGTTTGGAAACTACCAATCTCGAGCTTATGCAACTACGCTTTTGAAGTCAGCATTTGAGGTGGCTGGTCCAACCCAATTGAACAGTGTAAGAATAGAACTTTTTGTGGAGATATTAAGAGTGTTAACGGATCAGGTTTCAGACCAAGCTTCTAAGGTAGCATTGAAGCTTCTTGTGGAGTTGTGTTCATTGGGTAGGAACAGAATCAAAGCTGTTGAGGGTGGTGCTGTTTTAGTCCTCATTGAGCTTCTTCTTGATGTTTCTGAAAGAAGAGAATGTGAACTCATGTTGTTGGCTTTGGACAGACTTTGTGGCTGTGCAGAAGGAAGAGCTGAGTTGTTGAACCATGGAGCTGGATTGGCGATTGTGTCCAAGAAAATTTTGAGGGTTTCTCATGTGGCAAGTGATAGAGGGGTTAAAATTTTGACCTCCATTTGTAGGTATTCAGCTACACCTAGAGTGCTTCATGAAATGTTGCTATTTGGAGCTGTGTCAAAGTTGTGTTTGGTGCTTCAAGTGGAAGGTAGTTTCAAGGCTAAGGAGAGGGCTAAAGAGACACTCAAATTGCACTCTATGGTTTGGAGGAATTCCCCATGTATTCCAGATCCTTTGCTTGCATACTATCCATGATCTAATTGATATCATAATGTTTTCCCTATGCAAAGGTGAGAGTAAGATAAGATCTTTGTCCATAACTTTTATTAAATGTGTATTGTATAAAAATGAATATTTTAATTCTAAGTGTTACGGGTGATAAAATGAATCCCAATATCTATCTTTTGTAAACATTATGCTTCATAACTATTTATTTCCTAGCAAGCTGTATAATTAAGTATTGATTGGTTTGTCATGTATATTTGTCATATGCTGTTTATTTGAGCAACCAGCGTCCAAGCCTTGAATGTGTATGTGTACAGAAAGCCCTGGATTGATTTTGGTTGGGAGTGCTGGGATTTTTGTTCAACGAGATGTTTTCAATGGTTGAAGTATTAGCTCACCTAATCCTGTGTAGAGAAAAGGACAAAGGGCCATTGATGTAAGCTTAAACTCAATTTTTGTTGTTTACGCACTTGAAATTCCACGAATGAGTAAATAATTAGTCAAGGTATGTCATTTGCTTATCACAGTAGCAACTTATTTTAGTTTATAATTAGCATATTACAAGTAATAATTCATTTTCTTTTCATTATTTAACGTATAAAAAGCATAGAATATTATATGTTAAAAACATTTTTTTATTAATTTTTAAGTAAAATAGTATCCATTAATATTATAGTTTTTTTAATGTAATCCTAGAACATATAATAAACATTTATATATAATATTTTTTATTAAAAATGCTAAATTTAATATATTAATAATATTAGATATTATAATTTTTATAAAAAATTAAATTATTTTTTTATTATATGTCTTCTTTACTTTAACTATACGTTGAAAAAATTGATAATATTATATTTATCAACAATATTTCTTTAATTATAGCAGCAGCAGCAGCTGAATCATTCAGTTCACGTTTCAAGAAGGGTAAATATGATCCTGAATTTAGGACCCTTATCTGTGGCCCATTTTCAGTTCACTGTGTTGTTGCTGCTATTGCTTCAATATTCAATTTTTGGGTGGTTGGGTGAAGCAAACTCTGTATCGGTCCTCAGACTCCGTCTTTAATTGGAAAGACTTTTTAGATAGACTTAGATTATCAAATCAGACCAAAGTTAATGGTTAAGAAGTATAATTAGCACAAGAAATTGAAATTTCATGGTACAAAGTAGATATTGACCAGTTAGAATTCATCAGTTCGCTGAAAATTTTGATAATGTCAAGGTACAAGAAATTATCATCACTATTAAAATTCACTAGATTATTATTAGTCAACAATACGAATAGCGTTAAGGTATTACTCCCTTTTTAAATATATTAATTATTTACTTCAATAACTATTACAGTCATTAAATATGTTTAAAATTATATATAAGAAAATACCATTACATTTTATTAAATTGTCGTTTTAGTTCATCAACGCTCTTATTCATTTGATGAAAATATCAAGAGTCATTGATGGTAATATAACGCAGAAAAAATAAGCATTTTAATTTTGTAAAATGAATGTTAAGATGAAATAAAATTTGTTTCGTTGCCCTCTTCGTTAATATTAAAAATCACACTCATTTCTTCAATTGACCGAAACGTTTATTCATTTTAGGACAAAAAAATTTAATTAAAATACACTAACAGTGTAATAAGTTTTCATATTTTCATCTAATCATAAAATTGTTATATAAATGATAATATATAAATTGTGATAATTAATATAAAAATTATATCTACTGTATATTCTACTTAATTGATAATATAAAAAAGTTTATAGTGATAGTGCATTAAAATTAAACTCCTAAAGAAATTAAAATAAATTAGTTTGCTTTTATAATTCTTTTCCTTAATCAACCAAATCAACCCATCAAAATAAGTTTAATTTATTACATGAAGTTGTCTCTTGGTGCCAAAAAAAAGGGGCAAAGTAGTGTTACATTGAAATTGAAACCTTCTAATAGGTAGATGATACATTTGTCAGATTGAACACATGACCAAACTGATGAAAATATGAACCTAATGAAGTCAATGAACACTTTATCTGATTTAGCCATTAACTTCAGAAATTGATTACAAGACAATTGAGCTTCCTTTGCAGAGTGAATATCCAGAGAATTGAATCAACATAGGTAAACTCATATCCATAAGCACATAGATTGCTACCGAATTAAATGACAAAACATATATTCTTGGGTCAACATATAATGCAAACATATAGAGTGAATATAAATGCGAATGTTGAAGAACCCCATATTGCATTGTGTGCTACGAGAGTAAAAAGTAAAACATGTATTCTTGGGTCAACAAGTTGGATCATAAATCCATTTAAATTTTGGCCCATTCTATCCCTATCCAAAACTGGATAGGCCTAAAGTGGACTAACCTAGTGGGCTGATTATTTTTGAAACAAATTATTTATTATTTTAACCTAAATTGACTCTCTAAATTATGTTAGACTTTATGTTTGAGTTTGGCAGATTTTGGAACAGGCTAACAATACGAATTTTTGGTCTTCAATTTGTATATTTAATCCATTAGTGATGAACAAAAAACATCAAATCCTATTACCCCTACATTCAAGATCAGCCTAAAATTCTGGATCATATACAAGATGATCAAATTCGAATCTTGGGTCTTGAAAATTTTCATATCTCCTTTTGTCTCTGAAAAAAAAAAAAGATCAACCTAAATTTGTGACCAAGAAAAAAAATCAGCCCCAAATTATTTTTCGACCAGAAAAAGATGAGATATTTAGACATAAAAAAAAAAAATAAGGTATTATATCTAGCTACTTTTATTCTGCATACCATCATGCTTAATCTAAGAATGACTCATTTAAGAGGCAAGTCACAAGATAAAAACATATTGATAAAGTCAATATTAGATTTTAAAGTCACTATGATATTCGCCAAGTTCACAAATTCAGAACAGGGCTGCCACTGACCATTTGCCACAAAACTTGCTTAGGATTTTCCTTGGAAAATTCTATCCACCGATTTCAAAAGGACGAATCCATGGCGAAATCGAAGAAATTATAAATTACTCTATTTTGGGCTAATTGGCAAGAAAATGACTTTTGAGTAGAGCATATTGACAACAATATATTGATAGGAATAAACGGCACATGAGCTGCAATTCGGGTGACCTAAAATCGAGCTCTCATAAACTGAATATTTTAATACACGGCATGTCATTCATTGAGTGCTCAGTTAAAAAAAATAAACTATTAGCACAAATATTATGAAAATTTACTACTAATATGATATGTTATACCAACTGACAATTTTGTAGATATAGAGCTTTGATTTATACTATCAATACATCAAACCCTAATGCAAAACATTACAGTATTATACTGTTAATGTAGATCCACAATATCTATACAAATAATTTAATTTGCTAAAAAAATGCTATATTGAAGGCAATTCTTAACTCCCAACTTTTAATTTGTGTTGTATGACATGCATTATCATGTCTGCTTAAAAGTGGACAATATTTTTCAATGGACGATGATTTACATTGTAATTAGATACTGACTCTAGATACAAAGAATTTCTCAAAATAACCCAACAGTTGTAACAACAAATGTTAATGGGCCAAACATAGAAGGCAAGCATCCAATCTAAAATCTGGTTTGGTGATTTTGCTCCCCAAACAGAGTCTAACTTGGCACCACCCAATCCATGTCTTCCACTATTTCTCATGATCTGTAGTAAAATTTACTGACAACAGTAGACTTGCAAGTTCCAACAGCCCAAATTCATTGCTGAATTAATGGCAGTGTCTTTTTCTAGGGTCAATGACGCAACTCATAAGTGATAATTGCGCAAGATTTTGTTAGATTTTGCCCCAGACAAGTTTTTATTTTATCCACCAGCGTAGCTAAGGTAAGGCAGCACGCAACAACAGTACATTGAAATTTCCGTACCCCTTAATTATTCGATGGAAAATGGACGCAAACACATATAGATAATATTTTGTTTGAGCCACTAATTTTTGTTCTTCTTGAAAATTTAATTTTCTTCATATACGAGGGTGTGATAGCTGAATGAAGCGTATGTTTTTACCCCAATAAGAAAAAACATTAAAAAAGGTTTGTACGAGCATTCATTCCTAATGTCGGCCACCTTTTTGGATAAAGTGTGGAAATGCAATAAAATTGCCGTACGTAAGAGAGATTAGTCAATCCTATATCCATGCATGATGCCACTAACATTATTTGCTTCACATGTTCAGGTGGTTAGCAAAAGTGGTTCTAGTCTAACGTAAATGAGTGGACGTACGTATATATCCCTGCATGTTAAACTTTTTAGTGACATATATTCTATATTCTTGCAACTAGCTATATCTATTTTTATTAGGTTCTCCACTGTACATCTGTTTATTAAGTTCGGTATACGTATAACTCATCAAGACACTGCCACAACTCGACCAAAAATTATTATTATTATTAGCTTCAAATTCCACTACTTATTATAACATCATTTCACTAACTAAATCATCAGTTCCAAGAAAAAATCAAACTATGTTGCAAACCAGTTATTTGACAGTTTAGGGGCTCATGGATTATTTTTCATAATTTTGCAGAGTCGTATCTGATATGCTAATAATGTAAATTATGATAGAGTTCTATAACAAAAACGAAATTTATTCTTTTTATTGAAATTCTATTATCTGTGAACTCTCTCAAATCAAATGATTACGCGGAATAATTGTTTCTTTCGATAGAAAATGAAAAGGTGCAAGTATATGGTTGAACTGCATGCACATATATAACTTCGTACTTCCCTCGTTCCTGATGATCAAGATCGATTGATTTCCAAAATCGTTGTAAATGGCTAAAATAAATAGGAAAATAAAATAAGTAAACAGAAGCTCATTCCTTAACATTAATGATATCATTAAAACAGTACTTACCTCTACATCTAATATTTGTAGATCTAGACAAACACTAGCTAATTTTAAGGGTATATATTGATTGAAAAAATTATTGGTTCAAATTTTTTATTATGTACAATTTATTTAATATTTAATTTTTA